AGGGGGTTATTGGGGTGAAAATGGGGTTATTGGGGGGAAAAATGGGGTTATTGGGGTTTAAAATGGAGATACAGGGGGTTATTGGGGTGAAAATGGGGTTATTGGGGGGAAAAATGGGGTCATTTGGGTGAAAAATGGGGTTATTGGGGTGAAAATGGGGTTATTGGGGGGAAAAATGGGGTTATTGGGGTTTAAAATGGAGATACATGGGGTTATTGGGGTGAAAATGGGGTTATTGGGGTGAAAAAGGGGAAGTATTTGGGTTAGCAACAAGGGCTGGTAGCGCCCGCAGCCGCCGTGGCCCTGGAATGGGGGGAGAGAGGGGAGAAACAGGGTGAAAAATGGGGTTATTGGGGGGGAAAATGGGGTTATTGGGGGAAAAATGGGGTTATTTGGGTTAAAAATTGAGATAATGGGGGGAAATGGGGTTATTGGGGGGGAAAATGGGGTCATTTGGGTTAAAAATGGGGTTATTTGGGTTAAAAATGGGGTTATTGGGGTGAAACATGGGGTAATTTGGGTTAAAAATGGGATTATGGAATGAAAAATGGGGTTATGGGACGAAAAATGGGGTTATTGGGATTAAAAATTGAGATATTGGGGGGAAAAATGGGATCATGGGGTGAAAAATGGGGTTATTGGGGTTTAAAATGAGGTCATTTGGGTTAAAAATGGGGTTATTTGGGTTAAAAATGGGATTGGTAGTGCCCACAGCCATCGTGGCCCTGAAACGGGGGGAAATAGGGGAGAAATGGGGTTAAAAATGGGGTTATTGGGGTTAAAAATGGGGTTTCTGGGGTGAAAATTCTCCAAGGGGTTTTGAAGCCACAAATGGGATTTTGAGGCCACCAAGGGGGGTTGTGGGGCCATAAATAAGAATTTTTTACCAAAAAACGGGGATGTTGGGGCCACCAAGGGGATTTTGGGGCCACCAAGGGGATTTTGGGGCCACCAAGGGGGATTTTGGGGCCACCAATGGATTTTGGGGCCACCAATGGATTTTGGGGCCACCAATGGATTTTGGGGCCACCAAGGGGATTTTGGGGCCACCAAGGGGGATTTTGGGGCCACCAATGGATTTTGGGGTGCCCACCTTCTCCTTGGTGAGGTCCTCGTCGCCCTCGGGCTGCTCCACGCCGAACTTGTGGTCCATCTCCTCGCCGCCCTCGCAGATGTTCTTGCCCTTGCAGAGGTCGTAGACGTGGGTCAGCCTCTTCTTGGGCTGCCCCTTGGACTTGCCCAGGATGTCCTTGATCTTGGGGTTGTTCTGCCCAAAAAAACGCAGGTTTGGGGTCACAAAACGCCATTTTGGGGTCACAAAACGCCATTTTGGGGTCACAAAACGCCATTTTGGGGTCACAAAACGCCATTTTGGGGTCACGTTGTGGTTTTGGGGTTATAAAAAGTGATTTCGGGCGTTTGGTGTCGTCACATTGTGGTCCTTCAACATCTCCAGAGCTTCCAGGGCCACCAAGCAGGTGACAACTCTGTGTCCCCCAATTTTGTCACCTCTTCTCAGTGTCCCCAAATTTTGTCCTCTCCTCTGAGTGTCCTCTCCAGCTTTCCCACCTCCTCTTGGTATCCCCAAATTTTGTCACTTCTTCTTGGTGTCCCCCAAATTTTGTCACTTCTTCTTGGTGTCCCCCCAAATTTTGTCACCTCTTCTTTGTCCCCAAATTTTTTCACCTCTTCTCAGTGTCCCCTCATTCTGTCATCCTCTCCTGATGTCCCCAAATTTTGTCACCTCCCCTCGGTGTCCCCAAATTTTGCCACTTCTTGGTGTCCCCAAATCTGTCACTTCTTGGTGTCCCCCCAAATTTGTCCCTTTTTCTTGGTGTCCCCCCAAATTTGTCACTTTTTCTTGGTGTCCCCCCAAATTTTGTCACCTCCCCTCTGTATCCCCAAATTTTGTCACTTCTTGGTGTCCCCCCAAATCTGTCACTTTTTCTTGGTGTCCCCCCAAATTTTGTCACCTCCCCTCGGTATCCCCAAATTTTGTCACTTCTTGGTGTCCCCCCAAATTTTGTCACTTCTTGGTGTCCCCCCAAATCTGTCACTTTTTCTTGGTGTCCCCCCAAATTTTGTCACCTCCCCTCTGTGTCCCCAAATTTTGCCACTTCTTGGTGTCCCCAAATCTGTCACTTCTTGGTGTCCCCCCAAATTTGTCACTTTTTCTTGGTGTCCCCCCAAATTTTGTCACTTCTTGGTGTCCCCCCAAATCTGTCACTTTTTCTTGGTGTCCCCCCAAATTTTGCCACTTCTTGGTGTCCCCCCAAATCTGTCACTTCTTGGTGTCCCCCCAAATTTGTCACTTTTTCTTGGTGTCCCCCCAAATTTTGCCACTTCTTGGTGTCCCCCCAAATCTGTCACTTTTTCTTGGTGTCCCCCCAAATTTGTCACTTTTTCTTGGTGTCCCCTCACTGTCACCCTCTCCTGACGTCCCCCCCACCCAGTGTCACCCCCAAAATCCCCCCAACCCCGATGTGTCCCCAGGATGTCCCCGAGGTGCCACCCCGGAGCCATTTTGGGGCGTTTTCCACCCAAAACCGACCCCCCCCAAATGTGGGGGTGCCCCGGGGTTTTGGGGTCTCACCGAGTCCACGAGCAGCTTGGAGCAGAAGAAGCAGACGCAGCGCAGGATCTTCATGGTTTTGCCCAAGAAGCCCACGTGGAACACGGGCTTGGCCAGCTCGATGTGGCCAAAGTGGCCCGGACACTCCGTCATGTTCCCTGGGGACAGCCCAAAATCGGGTTGGGGGACACCCCAAAACTGGGTTGGGATAGAGGGGAACCCCCCCCTGAATGGGGATTTGGGGTGGGAGGAGAAAAACACTGAAAAAACCCTAAAAAAAACCAAAAAAACCCCAAAAAACCTCCGAAAAACCTCTAAAAATCCCTAAAGAAACCTTAAAGAAACCCTAAAGAAACCCTAAAAAAAAACCCTAAAAAAACTAAAAAAAACCCAAAAAATAAACCCAAAAAACCTCTAAAAATCCCTAAAGAAACCTTAAAGAAACAAAAAAAAAACCCTAAAAAAACCCTAAAAAACCTAAAAAAAAACCCCAAAAAATAAAAAAAAAAAACCTCTAAAAATCCGTAAAGAAACCTTAAAGAAACCCTAAAAAACCCTAAAAAAAAAA